TTGTGACAAACACCAGATACAGCACTGGGACTTGATCAACAGCCGATACCGCACCGTGACAATGTCACTAACCAGTAGGTGGCAGTAGTGTTCTTTGACAAGTTTGAATTGTGAATTTGAGCGGACTTTTCCTTTAATGTCTATAAAACAGACTTTATGTGAAAGTTCTTGTATTTTAAAGACTCAGATGCATGAAGAATACAAATGTCATGAATATAACAAAACAAATTAATGTAGAAAAAATATTTGACCAATTTTACATTTTTTTCCTAACATAAAACTTAGAAAATCAATTCTTTCAATGAGAACTGTATACATGTTAAGATGTTAAGGAACTTGCACTGTTTGTAATAATTGTTGTAATAATTTTTAATTAAAGTACTTACTTACTCTAATCCTATATCAACCAAGGTGGTGGAAAGTTTATGATGTGGGATTTTCCTCATAATCTGACCCTCCTACAGTCTGTGAGCTGACAGTGAAATCTCTGCAGTCAAATATCAAATAACAAACAACCTGACGGCACCACAGAGAAGAATCAATGAGGTCTAGTCAAAGTCCAGACCTAAAACCTGCTGACAGGCCCTAGTGGAAGCAGTTCAGACATGAATGTCTACAAATCCAGACATCCATCATTGGAAGAGAAGGTTTCTGCAAAGAGAAGATGGGAACGGTTCTTGAACATCAACCCCTCAGAAGGCAACTTCTGAGAGATGCTGCAGCTAAAGGTTCTACAAGAGACCCGGTTCCAGGGAGCGCTTGTTATACTGACCGCTGTGGAAACGTCCCTTCTGCTCTGCCTGGTAATAAAATAAACAATGTTCTGTTATAGAAAGTCTTTCAAATTGACCGACACATCTTCTCGTCATCATCTTGGTCATACTCAGGCGATTATATCCAAAGACAGAGAAACAAAGAGCTGCTTAATGAGATATTAAACATGATTTACTGCTGACAGCTTTACTCTGATGAGGATGAGGATATTTGGGCTCCATCTGAAAGCAGACATTAACCTATGGCGCCCTCTGCTGGTAGAACATCAATACTGAAAACCTTTTAAGGAAAATAAAACTGAGGTTAAAGTGTTTGGACCTAATTGCTCCTGTGACTCCACTACTTTACACCTATAGGACCCCTGACTCCATATTTTAAATCGACCATAACAAACGTGGGTTTTAAGGTAGAAAGTGATTTTAAACTGGGAAAGCAGAATATTGGGAATCTGGTGGAGACGGAAAATTATTAAAACCAGTATTGATGTTGATCCAGTGTCTCTTCTCCTTGGTCTGCCAAATAAACATTGTATTATGTTCTATAATGTCCTGATTTTCTGTGGTTGAAAGAATATTTTATTACGATGGATTTCTAATAAATCTACTTTTTTTTGGTGGAAGAAGCTTATTTTGGAATTTATCCCTCTGGACTTTCTAACATGCCTGGTCTACTCTAAGACTAAGACCTTTGGACGCATATGAAGCCCTTCTTGGACTATGCTGAGGGACACATGTCTACCATCCTGTCTCAAACGGTTATAAATGCTTAGATTTGGACTCGGCAGATGGCCGCTCACACTGAGCCTGGTTCTGCTGGAGGTTTCTTCCTGTTCAAAGGCAGTTTTTGTTAGGAATCCAGTTTGTGTGGGTTGTGTTTTTGTTTGTTTTCCCTCCATCACCAGGTGGTGCCTGGTTCTTGTTGGCCTTCTCACACACCTGCGGATGGTTGCCTCATTACCTGAGGACTCTTAAGCTGCTGACTGTCACTACCTCGAGGCCAGAGTGTTTGCCAGTTTTGTCTACTCTAGCCAAGCTGAGTTTTGCTGAGTCAAACTGAGTTTTTGTCTCCCTGAATCTAAACCTTGTTGTTTTTTTGTCTTTGCCTCTCGGCAGGAAGTCATCCTGCAAACTGGATGTTTTGGACCTTCTCCCCCTGGAAGGATCGTTTGAGCTTCACACTGAGCAGGGGATTCATCTCCACAAGATACAGTACGTTCAAGTACCGAAGGAAATCTAAGTGGCTGTCAGCTCCTCCATTCCTCAAGGAAACACCTCAACCTTGGTAAACCCTGTCCGCCCTCCAACGAGCAAGTCAGTTACTGGAACAACCCACACCGACTGGATTCAGATAAAGACACTTTTTACTGGAAACGTGAGTCCTGTTACCTTTATTTCCTTTTGCAAATCGAAGCTCAAATTCCCCACTGAGTCTGAACTAACCGCAGGAACGTCCCCTTCACTTTTGAGTTGCAGTTTGCCAGTGTTCAGAGCAGCACTG